CTCTCTCTCTCAAAAATAAATAAACATTAAAAAAATCTTTTTAATTAAATCATGTTTGTTTAAAGATAATGAGAAAGTGTTTTCATTAAAATATATCTTAGGGGTGCCTGGATGGCTCAGTCAGTTAAGCGTCAGACTCTTGATTTCTGCTCAGGTTATGACCTCACAGTTCATGAGATCAAGCCCTGTGTTGGGCTCTGCACTGACATGGAGCCTGGTTGGGATTCTCTCTCTCTTTCCTCTCTCTGCCTTTCTCTGCTTGTTCTCTTTCTCTCTTTCTCTCTCTGTCTCTCTCAAAAATAAACATGAAAAAAAATTTTTAATTAAAAAAATAAAATATATTTTAAATGTTTATCTACTTTTGAGAGAGGGAGAGAGAGAGAGAGACAGAGCATGAGTGGGGGAGGGGCAGAGCGAGAGGGAGACACAGACTCAGAAGCAGGCTCCAGGCTCTGAGCTGTCAGCACAGAGCCCAACATGGGGTTTGAACCCATAAACCTCGAGATCACAACCTGAGCCAAAGTGAGGCGCTTAACCAACTGAGCCACCCAGGTGCCCCAAAATATGAAATATTTAAAAAAAAAAATTTTTTTTAACATTTATTCATTTTTGAGAGACAGAGTGTGAGTGAGGGTGGGACAGAGTGAGAGGGAGACACAGAATCCAAAGCGGGCTCCAGACTCTGAGCTGTCAGTCCAGAGCCCAATGTGGAGCTCAAACTCATGGAGCTCAAACTCATGGGCTCAAGATCGTGACCTGAGCCTAAGTCAGACACTTAACCGACTGAGCCATCCAGGTGCCCCCCTAAAATATATTTTAAATAATAGTCATTTCCACTGGCAAAAAAAAAAAAAAAAATTAAAAGAGAAGTTAAGGAAATTTACTCAGTCTGACTGTTTTTCTAGTTCATGGTGTATCAAAATCCCAAAGTTTTTCCTAAAAGTTTCTCTCTAGTTCTGGTTTTAAATTTCCTTAAAACCACCTAAAACAAAATACATCCTCCTTCTTTGTCCAAATGAGATTACCAGCCACAGGGAGGAGGGAGACGCTGAGGAAGTAAAAGAAGAATCAGAGAAAAGTTGTAACTACAGATCTGCTCGGTGGAAATGTAAGAGCCCCTCTGAGCAACACGAGAGGCCAGTAATGATTAAACGCTCCCGGCATTCTCCATCCAAGAAAGAGAGCTGCATTTGGGGCATTTATAAGAGCCATGCTGAATCTCAGTTGAAAATTTCAGCAGATTTTTTTTTAAAGCAAACAAAATACGCTTTGTCTAAACAAGCCACAGGTTCTCATGACATTCCACATTCACAGACTCCCATGACTCTGCTTCTTAATAAAACAGTGTGGTCATGAGTTGTACTCTTTTGCTGTAAGCGGGCAAACAGCCCTGCAGTTTTCTCGTTTCTTGCGCATAATAAAAACCAAACCGAATCAAAATAATAGTAAGAGCCAACATCCAAATGAGTAAAAAGTGCGAAAACCGGTCGAAGTTACGTAAGTCATCGTATTTAATCATCACAGAACCCAGTGAGCTGAGCACCACTGCTGTCCTCGTTTTATAGAGGGGGAAACTGAGGCACAGAGAAAAGTGAGTTTGTAAGCAGTCGTGCCTGCACTCCAACCAGGTAGAGGCAACGAGTTCAGGCTACTCTGTCCAGGGTTTGTTCGCAGAGAAACAAGGAGCGTGGGCTCAGTACTGTCAGCTTTGGCATCCCCGGTCTGCCTCCAGCACACATACTCTTTTTATTTTATTTTATTTTTATAGGTTTTTTTTTTTTAAGTATATTTATTTATTTTGAGGTGGGGGAGGGGAAGAGAGAGAGGGAGACAGAGACTCCCAAGCAGGCTCTGTGCTGTCAGCACAGAGCCCGCGACTCGGGGCTCGAATTCACGAAACGTGAGATGGTGACCTGAGCCGAAATCAAGAGTCAGATGTCTAACCGACTGAGCCACCAGGGCGCTCCCAACCGGTGCACATAACTCAACCATCACTTTCTACTGCCTTTCCACGTGCAGCCTTGACAAGGCGGTTCCCGCGTGAGACTCAACATGGAAACAGCAGACGCCGCAAAAGCATCCTCCGTGCCGTCAGACCGATTCCCCGCTGAGCTGCAAGAGCTCCCCATCACATGCGGGTCACAAGGAAATGGTTCCGGAGGACTGGAAAGGCCAGGACACAAGGAAAGTGGCCTCAAAGAAGGCAGCCCTGGAATCCACACGGAACTTACGTGGCAGACACTGCAGAGCAGGGGACCAGCCCCACCCCTTCTCTCCTCCCCACGAGCTGGCACGGAGGGATGGCTGAGTGTCGGGGTCTGGACAGCAGCACGTGAGCGAAAATGAAACGTGTGGCTTCCGGGCCTGGCTCAGCAAACCTACGAACAATCTTCCTCGTACGTTTGCCTTCTACTTGCAAAGCTGGCAGGGCCGCAGGGTGGAAAGCACCTGGCAGGCTGATCCTGCACTCTGTACCAGTGAAATAGAAACTTCTGTTCTGTGGTGAGTTGAAGTTTGGGCATTATCTATTAGAGCAAGGCTGCTAGTGAATTTTGTGTGTTAGCCTGACTCGACTCACAGATCCCAAAGGGCTGGTATGATGCTATTTCTGGGGGTGCCTATGAGGGTGTTTCCAGAAGAGATTAATTAGCACTCAAATCCATAGATCGAGTAAAGAAGAGTAAAGCTCTCTCACCGATGAGGGTGTGCATCATCAAACCCCGTAAGAGACCAAACAGAACAAAAAGGCCCAGGCAGGAAGAATTTGTTTTTTTTTCTCTTCCTGCCCCGGAACATCAGCCTTGTGGTTCTCAGGCCTTTGGAATGGGGCTGAATTACACCATCAGCTTTCCTGGGTCTCCAGCTTGCAGAGGGCAGACTGTGGGACCTCTCGGCCTCCATAATCATGCAAGCCAATTCCTATATTAAATTTCCTCCTATATATATCCTATGAGCTCTGTTTGTCCAGAGAACCCTAATACAGCAAGGAATTAATTTTTTTTACCTTAATTAATACACCTGACCTCTAACCTAGCAATAGCCACCTCTTAGGATTCCTCTGCTGCTGGAAAAATGTAGGACTCACAGCAGAAAACATTTAAAAGTCCAGAGATATGACCCGAGCCAGGCTTAGGAGGTCATTCTCTATATTTAACAGGTACGCACCAATCCACACACCACAGAAAGCATGTCACACAAAGCCAAAGCATCCACAGGGATCTTACCTGCCAACAGAGAGGACGGTGACCTCTCCCTGACGCCTCGCGTGGCCCTGTTTGGATTTGTTGGTAGGTCTTATGAAGTGCCACCGTTTGTGCCTACACCGATGACACACGTCCCTCTCGACAGCACCGCCCACTGTGTGCAGATGGTGGCCACAGATGTGCTTCCCGGGGGTGCCTCCTGGCGACAAGGGCCCGGGACTCACAGGTGGGCTCCCAGGAGTGCTGGGCGTCACAGGGCTAAGGTGGGGAAGAGGAAACAGTAGAACCGGTTACTTACAAAAAGTACTAGCTAAGGCGATCTCTCCCTTGCAATTCAAATAGCAGGTTTAAATCACAGCCAAGTGTCTGCCTAGATCTCTCAACAAAGAGATCCCCCGGACACATGTGCGTTGAAGGAGAGACACACGTGAATTCCCAACAAATTATCAAATGACTTAAAATAGAATGTTTGATCCAGACTGACTACTGCATCAAAGGAAGAAAGCTTTTAGGTCAAGATATCAAAAGTAATCCTCCAGCGATGTTGATGGTGTTGACAGCCATAACAAAAAGAGCTAACAGTATTCTAAGCATTTGATATGTGTTAATTCAGTTAATCTTTACAAAACCTTCCAAGGTTGGTATTATGAACTTCCTCATTTTAAACATGAGAAGTTAAGGAACTTGCCAAGGACACACAGCTAATAAATGATGGATCTGAGATCCAGATCTGGAAAGTCTAATTCTAGAAACCATGCACTTAAGCACCATGCTACAGTGCTTCAAAAAAACAAGGGAGCCCACATTCTTTGATAGCCCGGGGAAAAAAGTCCAGGCAAAACATAAAAAGGAGAAGTATATAGGTCAGATGTTGGCAACTTTCAAAAGACACGTCAAGACCGGATCTGGTCCACTAGAAAAGGAGGACTTAAAACAGGACAGGGCCAGCCCGACCAGGCATCAGCCCTGCGTCATGGTAGAGGCGGGCAAGGTGGGGTGGCATGTCACCGCACAGGCTGACACCTGAGCCTGTCCTAGAGCCCCAGAGGCACGTGGATGTCTTATGACAGCATGAACCAGCCTTTCTGCTGCTGAGAACCATCCCACTTGCACTTTTAAAAAGAAGTGTGCATGGTTGAGGAGAGTCTCAAACACCACGGACAGCCAAAAGCTTTCTGGTGTTCGTTAGGGATGCTCTTTAGGTTGTTAAAATAAAAACACGCAGCAGCAGCTTTCTGAGATAAAACAATGCCAAATTAACACCACATAGTGGAAAGCAGAATTCAAAATTTTTGTTTAACGACATCCGTTTGACAAACGTTCGAGTACCTGCGGTGCATAAAAGCCAATGGCAGGCACTATACCACGCCCAAAAATAACCGAGGCAAACACGCCGTGAGCCAACATGGTCCAAACACCATGGTCAGGGCTGGAACGTGGGAGAAATCCCAGCTCATATGTCTCTATGTAGCTCTATGAACTACACCACCAGGACTTCCTAAACAGAGCTTCCTGCATGAGCTTCCTGGTGAAAATGCAAGCCTAACACACCAGTCTGACAAACACAAGATATCCAAGATATGCCAGATGCACCGCCCCACAGAGTAAGCAGGAAAAAGGTGCCAAACTCCTTGCCCTGTCCCTCGGTCCCAACTTGCCCTCCTGGCCCTTCTTCCTACTGTCCACGGTGCGTTCTCTGGCCTCCCTGGACTGAACCTTTGGGGCTTTCTCCACCTACAAGCAAGCAGCCCCTGCCTCTTGTCTCTGCCTGTCGAACCTGGGTCAGATGGCATTTCCGTGGACCTTCTATGAACCTTCCGTCACCTCCCACTGGCCCCATGGAGTTTGCAGAGCATCCAGTCTTTGCTTCTCCCACAGCACAGTCATGCGCATCCCCATCGTAAGGCCTCACACCCACACCTCCATTCCCCACTAGACCGAGTCTCCGTGCCAACAATCTGTGAATGCCCAGCTCCAGCACTGTGCCCAGCACTGAGCAGGCATTCAATAAATGCTCCTAGCTGACGAAATAAAAAATTATATAGAAATATAGTTATCTGTAATTCATTAGGAAGGACTATAATGCTCCATAACCAAACCAGCCTAATTTTTGCTGAATCATCGTTACTCCTGGAGGTCTCTCAATGCCCCAGGCCACTTGTCTTCCTTATAATAACCCAAGAAAGTGGGTACAATGGCCATCTCCATTTATAAATGATGGAACTTGAGCTCAGAGTGGTTAGTTAACTTGCCCACAAAGAGGTGGCCAATAAGTGGTGCCCAATTCCAAGGCTGTTAACTTCTTCAGCATATCTCCAACACTGCAGTTCTCAACCAGGGCTGAGTTCTCCCCAGTGGACGCTGATGCTGTGTGGGGACATTCTGGGTTGTCACATGGGGGACTGGGGGGGGGGGGGGGGGGGGCAGAGAAGACACCAGAATCTAGTGAGCAGAGACCAGGAACACCGATAAACATCCCAGGATGCACAGGACGGTTCCCCAAAGCAAAGAATTATCTGGCCCAAATGTCAACAGTACCAAAGCTGGGAAACCTGTTCTAATAGATAAGCAAAAAAAAAAAAAAAGTCCCACTGAAGGGAGTGGAGAGAGAAGCGCTCACCTTTCAGGGTCACCCAGGCTGTTATCTGCTACCATTGCCTTTAAAACATCAACGTTTGCTAAGGAAAAAAAAAGAAAGTAAAGGATTACAATGGGATGAATCACATGAGCAATCCTAGAATTATTACATCAGAAAAGCTGTTGGTAGAAAAATAAGAAAGAAAAGAAAAGCTGTTGGGAAAACATCCGAGTTCCTTCAGTTCACAGGACCCTGGGGTCCCAGAGAAGGGAGAGTTTTTCCCAAGGCAACCCCTCGAAATGGCACCATCGACAGATAACTCACCATGCTGGAATTTAGTATGAGTGCCAGACAGTCTACACAAAGGAAAGCAGATTATTGCAGAGCTGTGCTTCTGACACGTCATTCCAACATAACATAGAAACATACACTTCTTCCCCCCATCCCAAACCACAGGGAAATTTACATGTTGCTATTCCACTGCATTCAACTCCCTTTGCTAAATATGCATGACATGCATGTCTTAAGAGACCTGTATTCTAAGTAACTAACTTGAATCTAAAAAAATAAATTAAAAAAAAAAAATAAACCGGTTAAAAAAAAAAAAAAAAGATCTGTATTCTAACAAGTTACACGTGCCCAAATCACAAGCCTTCACCTCTGGATCCACATGTATTATCAGGTCTGTCTCACATATAATCAGGGATGGGAGATAATTTTCCAGGTGGGCCATTTGGCTTAGCTCAGCTTCAGGACCATATAAGACCTTAACTCTGGCCAGATACTTTAAATTTCCAAGAGGTGGTCACAAATATAAGTTACCTAATATGGACTGAATTAAATTGGACTTCTAACATTAATTTTTCAAAAAATCCAAATTTTTAGGTGGAGGGTGTAGGCTATCAACAAAAACAAACTGTATCTAAGCTTCTTGGTCCCCACTCCCCCTCCCCCTCCCGCCTCCACAAACACACATCTTTAAGCCTCTTACAGAGCAGTTAGACTCTCAAGGATGAAAGACTGAATGTTCAAGTTCCTTTTGGATATTTAATTGGCAAGGCCAAATGTTATTACTGACTCCTACCCTTTTCATTGATTTTTAAAGTGCTGTTCTCATGAAGGACCACAAATTCTCCAGAGATGAAATAAAAAATCACTATTTATCATGTGGGCCAACACCAACATTTAACATTTAACATTTCAAATGACATCCCTAGGGGAAGAAAATTCAACACTACTGATTTTAAGTATTAACAGTGAAGGGTTTATCCAGTGATTCTCAACTTTTTAAAAACTAAATTTATCTGGGCACCTGGGTGGCCCAGTTAAGCACCTGCTTCTTGATTTCGGCTCAGGTCATGATATCACTGTGAGTCTGAGCCCCACATCAGACTCCACACTGAGTATGGAGCCTGCTTGGGATTCTCTCTCTCTCCCTCTCTCTCTGCCCCTCCCCAACTTCTCTCAAATAAATTAAATTTAAGTTTTTTAATTGAAATAATTATTGGCCCACCCAGGAGCCTTTTGCAACATCTTTTTCCTAATCACCCTCTCATGAAATTCTAATCTTGAAGATGCATACCTGTTTACATAGTAGATGCAAATCTGTGTTTTATATGTAAAATAATTAGGGGTTTTTGCTCCCATGATCCATTTCCCCCCTTTACAACCCTTACAAATAAACAGATTCTTTTAAAAGAAATACTAACACAACATGCCATCTTTCCTTTTTTTTTTTTTTTTTTTTTTTTTTTTTTTTTTGTAAGTTTATTTATTTTGAGAGAGAGAGACAGCGTGCGAACAGGGGAAGGGCAGAGAAAGGAGGAGAGACAGAATTCGAAGCAGGCTCCGCACCATCAGCACAGAGCCCAGTTGGGAGCTTGAACTCATGAACCGTGAGATCATGACCTGAGCCGAAATCAAGAGTTGGACGCTTAACTGACTGAGCCCCCCAGGTGTAACCATTAACACAGCAGGCCATCTTTTCTAAAAGAAATATCCTCTTTGCCCTTCATGACTGTCTGTGAGGATGGCCAAATGCATTCCCTAACACACGTTTTGACCTAAGTAAGCCTCTTGTCGTTACTGAAAACGTACTGAAATGGATCGGCAGCTTGTATGTTCTCCCACACAACAAAGAAGACACGTTACCTTCTGTGACACAAACTCCAATACAGTCTAGTGATGTCACTCATTTTCCTTTTGACTAATAATAAGGATGCACAAAATTAATTTCTGTGTAGTCAAGGGGTTTAGGGAATACCCACAGTAATTTGCCAGTTGACGCTTATTCTCTGCCATCTAAACTTCAAGACTACAAACAATAAAGAGGGAAAACAACAACAACAAAAAAGGTATGAAAATAAAGACAGCACTAACGGCACTCACTTACAAGAATGGGCTTTTTAAAAACAAAAGTTTAAATTAGTTGCCGGAGAAAATTTACCACCTCTAAAGATGACCTTCCTTAGAAACATGGAGTCAGAAAATGATCGAGGAAGATTATTAAAATACATTAAAATCATTCCTAAAACTGTTCTTTTATAAACTTGTGTTATTTTTTCTATATTTATGTGCTCCTGTACCTCGCCCTTATCTCTCATAAAAATTAATAAATAGCCCCATTGTTTGCTATGAGTGAATTCTTTAAGAGTGGACTCAAGTTTCTGTGTAAACATGACCCACACCCTCCCTGTCCGAGGAGGTTCAGTGTGTGAGGTCATGTGGTTTCCCGGGATGAGAAAACTTTCTAACATAACCTCACCATTAGGACTCAAACACATGCTTGAATTTGGCTGTAGAATTACTATGAAGGAGCAATCATCTGATTAAGTTCTTTTGAATATGTATCCCCTCCTTGATTGTGACTCATAACTCCAATAAGCCATAAAAGATGGCTCCCCTGCTCTTGTAAACATTCTGTCGACTCTACTTCCCTTCATGGGTATCCAGAGAATGGGAGGGGTCAGTTACAGGGCAAGGAAAGCCTGTCAGGAACAGGAGACATTTTCTAGAGGGTAGGAATTTCATGAAATGCTTCCTCTCTTCTGTCCTGAATTTCTGCCTGATCTTAGGTATAAAGCAGTGAAAATGAGGCAGGAGAAATGCCCTATTTCTTCCACTACCAGTCTTTTCTGCAAACATTCCCTTGCAATCAAGGCAAATCCCCAGGCCAGAACTATTGCCACCGGCCAAATCTGAGTGCCTGCCATGTGCCAGCCACTGACCGAAAGCTTTAGAGACCCTACCATGTTTGACTCTCCTGACAAGTCCAGAATAGACAGAATCATCATGCCCATTTTACAGATACAGAGGCTGAGGCACTAAAGATCATAACTGACTGGCCAGAGTCACACAGCTAGCGTGACAGAGCTGGACACAAACCCTGGTCCATCTGACTTTGGGTGGGTGCTTTTGACCCCATGTTATCCTTTTCATTCTTCAATGTCCAAGTCCCTACCCAAATGATCAATAGTTTAATGCTTCATAGGGCATTTGCATAATCATTATAGCAATTTTCAGAGACCTACTCAGTAATGATAATTTGTAACCGAATCCCTCCTGCCATAGTATCAATTGAACCCCAAGGTAAGCATTTCACAAAAGGATCTCCCTGCCTAGAATAATCACAATATCTTCATTGTTACCAGATCAGATAGTTTAAGGGCCTGCAAGAGAGCTATAAACGTGCAGGTATTTTCCAAATTCCCATAGAACCCAAGAAAACCCCAATGACCACCCACACACTCTTCAATTCAATCTATTTACAAAGATAAATTAAGGGTAGCACTGTGGTTAATCCAAGCCTTGAGATTAGCAGGACAGTGATCAGTATGCAGGTCAGCTGATAAATGTATCCCTCAAAAGATTTACCTAAACGAACCTGATTTGCAACATTCAAGACACGATATGTTTAAACCATAAGCAAGAATGTCACCATGAGTACAGGTGAAATATTACCCCATTAGTCAAATTAAAAATGCAAAGCAGAAGACTATTCATAAATCATGATAGCAAATGTTTTAAAATATGTAAGTACAGGCAAAGAAAACCTAAATAAACATGGCAAATGGTAATGGATGGGTTGTATTTAATTGTATTCCTTTTTTTTTTTTTTCAATTTTAAAGGAAAAGTTATGTCACCGTGTGCTTACAATTAAAGAAATGGAAAACTGAATTAATGTCAATAGGCAGGTCTAAATTGATATTAAGTCCAGAGACTGCTAAAGACATAGACAAAAGATTAAAAATGCATTTGTTCTCTAGAGAATTGAAGTCTCAAAGCAAACCAAAGAAGCTAGGATATAAACTGGTAAGAGACCCAACAATGGATCTAATTCCCTAGCTGTGGTTTGGGCACAGGCTGGAAGGAAGCTAGAGATGGCCATGTCTGGAAAAGGGATGTCCAGTGAGGACAGATGTCTCCTGGTGGCCAAGGAGAACCAAGGGCCACCCAAAGGATCCGAACCACCACTCATGCTCACAGGTCACTGGAGAAATCACAGGAGACAAATGAAGGCATGGACGGGGGGAGAGGGGAAAAACCAGGGAGCAGAGGAGAAAGAAGGAAAACAGGACCTTAGCTGCTACTTTCATGTACCTACCGGTAATTAACACAGAGGAAACAAAAAGGTTTCTTCCCAAAAGGAAAAGGACATCATTAAAAAAGAAAAGGACAGACCTGTTTGCCCATGAGTGTGGGAGGTAGGAAACTACACAGCAAGCTTGTTCCAGAAAGTCAAACGCTTTTCCTCTGCTGTAATGAAGCAGAGTGCCACTGTTGGCCCATCCTGCCATATGCTGCTTGTCGTATGAGCTCTGGGCCAGTTTCCTCATCTGCAAGATGTGATGGTAAAAGGGCCTACCTCCATAAGGTAGTTTTGAGAATTTAATGACTTAATGCTTAAGAGTTTTATAAACTATCCCAGCTGTACACTTTATCTCTTTGAAAGGAAGACCCCTCCATCCCTCCTTCCTGCTACCAGGAAAGAGGCAGTAACAGCAAGTGGTTAAGTACAGACTCTGGAGGCAGATGCTACAGTTCAAATCTCAGCTCTGCCACTTGCCAGCCGTGTGATGTTGGCAAGCTAGTTAAGCACTGTGGGCCTTTTGGTTTCTCAACTGTAAATTGGGAATGAAGTATCTGAATCGAAAGGTTGTTAGTCCCTAGAAAGCCCTCAGGGCCACCATATGGCAAACACTCAGCTCATACAAGGAAGTTGTACATAAGAACTTCAGCCCTTGCAAAGTTTTCACAATTTATTTATTTCTGATCCAACAGTCAGTCCCACCACATCCCATACTAACTAATTTAGCAGCTGCCCCAGCTCTCAGAAGCCCCAGTCCCAAAGGCCCCCAAGATCCCAAAGCCATGTGAGGTAGTTTCCAATGCACAAGGCATGCCATGCCTCACCATGTGTACCTCCGTTGGCCTGAAGTTTCCATGCCAAGAACATATTTGTTTATTTCTTGTGCAAATTAAAAATGATTTCTTATGTAGAAATGTGCACCATTGGGTATTAATGAATAACATCACCAAATATATTCCCTGAAGGAAGGTCTCCGGAAGGCAGAGATCAAAATCCAAGTATTCTGGTCATTTTTGTTCTTACTTTAAATGCCATTCTAATAAGATTGATTATGCGGTTTTACATCCTGTAGAAACTGAAACCACAAATTAAAGAGAGGAGAGGTAATGCTGTGTAGTTGAAAGAGACCCAGCTAGGGCTAAGCTGTTCACTGACCATGTGAACTCAACTACTTGAAGCCTTCATTTCTGCACCTGTAAAATGGGTATAACAATACTAATTTTAGAGGTGCCTGGGTGGCTCAGCCAGTTAAGTATCTGACTCTTAATTCTGGCTCAGGTCACGATCTCATGGTCGTGGGATCCAGCCCCCGAGTCGGGCTCTACACTATAACAGTGTGGGGTCTGCTTGGGATTCTTTCTTTCTCTCTCTGCCCCTCCCCCACTCATGCTCTTTTCTCTCTCTCTCAAATAAATAAACGTTTTAAGAAAAACAATACCAACTTTAGAGGGACAGTGTGAGGATTAAATGAGATTACATATGAAAAGCACACTGTAAAGAATAATGAAAATGATGCAGAACCAGCTGAAACTGCTGTTTCTCTAAGTCAAAAGGCTGACCCACACCCAGGGCTGGGCCAGTGCTCTGCTTGACAGTGAGGCTGTGGGGGTGGGGCTCCCCAGGGAAGGGCTGGAGGCAGAGCAGCAGTTTCTACTTAGCAGTACGGCTAGTTTCCCCTTCGGACGAATGGCTCGGCTGCATCGGTGTGCCCTACAGCACCGCTGTGACTGGAGCCAGGACAGAGCCCAAGGAAGAGGTTTTCTTTTCGATTCTCGTGAGAACTCAAAGTACGGCGATCTGCAGCTATTGGAGATGTGCCCAACGAGTTCCACATGCCCCAAAAGTCACTGAGAGCCTCACCCTGTGCACCCCTGTAATGGTATCCTACAGAAATAATAACCAGTGTTCTGAACAAGAACCCTGATTTATCAAATCAAGGTTCAGTTCATCCTCCACTTCAGAAAAGAGGAGTTAAGAGCACATTTCCGAGGGGGGAAATTGCCTATGTCCACAAAGGTTAAACTGTTTAAAAATTGGAACACTTGAGAATAGATCCCGAGGCAAATCCATGGAGACAGAAGCAGAGAGGTCGCCGGAGGGTGGCCGGGGGAGGGCGGTGGGGTGTGGACGGTGACTGTTTAATGGGTACAGAGTTTCAGTTTGGGATGATGGAAACATTCTGGAACAAGGCAGTAGTGACGGCTTACATCATTATGAATGTACTTAATGCTACCGAACTGTACCTTTAATGGTAACTTTTTATGTTTTGTCTATTTTACCACAGCTTTTTTTTAATACAAAAAAAAAAAAGAAAGGAACAGACGATGTTTGAGCGCCTACTATACTAATAAGCATTTTACATGCAGGATGTCACAACAATGTTACCATATAAATATTATTTATTATCCTCCTTTTAAAAACAGGTGGAAATGGAGACTCCATGAGGTAATGTGACTTCCCTCAAATCAAAGTGAGGCCAAGGGCGCCTGGGTGGCGCAGTCGGTTAAGCGTCCGACTTCAGCCAGGTCACGATCTCGCGGTCCGGGAGTTCGAGCCCCGCGTCAGGCTCTGGGCTGATGGCTCGGAGCCTGGAGCCTGTTTCCGATTCTGTGTCTCCCTCTCTCTCTGCCCCTCCCCCGTTCATGCTCTGTCTCTCTCTGTCCCAAAAATAAATAAAAAAAAAAAAAAACAAAGTGAGGCCAGGACTGGAAGGTGAGCCTCCAGGGCGGGCTTTATGCACTGCTCACACCCACTGGCTCTCTGAAAACACACTTACGTGAAACTTCATGGTTGGATAACCTGAAAGCTTAATGGCTTAATGAGCTTAGGTAAAAGGTGCTGCCAATGACCAGAAATATTGACAGGACAGTTCATACAAATTCTGACTCTCTGAAGCAAGTTTTCAATAACACATATGAATATCGAATTGTTCTGGAACACTAAAACATCCATACCTTCATTTTTCATGATGTAGCGAACAATCTGCCCAACGGTGTCACTGTTTTCATTTACACTGTCATTCAACTCTGAAAGAGAAGGCAGAGGAGGGCATGGGTTAAACTGGTCACTTCTGTGGATTCCATGACACCTCACTGAACAGTCTCAAGAAAGTTCTTGCCGTGGCACTAAGGGTCTAGGCTTTCTTCCTTCAGCCCCAAACTGCCTGGGGCACAGTCCATGGTGATTTCCTTGGCATATATAACAGACATAATCAGTACCAGAATTATCCATCAACCGTCTTCCCAAGTCCAAACACCCACTTTCATGCATCTGTATCAGTCATTACTACTATATTTCTCTCTCATCATTTCCTTAAACCCTTAGGGGAAATGGGAAGAAGATAGTTAATTAAAAGAAAAAATTCTCCTTGGATTGATTGATTGATTGATTGATTGATTTTGCATGCAAGCAAGTAGGGGAGGGACAGAGAGTGAGGGAGACACAGAATCCGAAGCAGACCCCATGCTCAGTGCAGAGTCTGACGCGGAGCTCAATCTCACAACTGCAGATCACAACGTGAGCCGATATCAAGAGTCTGACACTTAACCAACTGAGCCACCCAGGCACCCCCCGCCTTGGATTTTCTTTTAATTGCAGGTATACTACATTAATTTAGAGTATGAATTTCTTTGGGGGCAATTATTCATCCATGTTTATAAGCCTCTCCTTTCTTTTAAATACACTTGCAACTGACCTAAATTTCAGCCGTGGTTATTTGCCCACAAACCGTTAACTTTATGAGACTCTGTATATGTGACAGTGTTTGAAGAAAAATCAAACCTCCACTCTGAAACTGTGTAATTTCAGGGAGGAAGGAAAAAGGAGGGTTGAAATACACCATCTTAGTTCACAGAGAACGAATCAAGGTGTGCAGTGTCCTACTCGTGTACCTGGGAAGGTGTCTTCTCCATCCATAGTCGGCTTTCCCCTCTGTGAAAACACACATCTGGCCAGACGGTGCAAATGTTGACCTGCTAAGCCAGCTTACAGAGCATCTTTGAAGGAGGGGAGGAGGAGGCTTGCTTTCTATTGACAAACACTCAGCTTTGGTTTGCTCACAGCTACACATGACTCATCCTGCAACCGGGTTCTCTCTCTGCCTCAAAGGTCAGTGGGAGTGGGAAAAACCAACAGGCCAGCAGGCTGGCAAGGAATGAGGAAGCTCCCCCAGTCCGCCCTTTGGACTTTCTCGAAAGGTGACCTACTCCAAATGTCCCCCTCTGCAAAAACTGACCTTTGAGGAGCTGAAAGGGATAAGGAGGGTTAGGTACTACTCCCCAACTCCAAGTCTGGAAATGTCCCTGAAGGATGGTTGAAAAAAAACATCTATGAAGAAAGAAAATCTCATTCTCTTGGGTGTTTCTGAACACTGCCTAACACTCCACGTTAAGAGGAAAAGGTAAACTATCCTCAAGTTAATCTAAGGCACCATTTCTTGCCACACTTTTATCGCACTGTTGACACAATTATTTTACTTAATAAATATAAATTTCAGTCACACAGATTTAAGATCGAATTCCCCCAGCAAGAGTAATACCATACAAGTGGTGAGAGCTATTTATATTTCACATTATCCTTATTAGAATCTCTTTTAATAATAAATAGTAAGGATTCATATTTACTGAGTGGGCTTATGTGCCAAATACCAAATGCATCATCTCTCTAAATTCCACAATAATCCTACAAAGTGGAGATCACTGCCCTCATTTAAATTAAATTAAATTGGCATGAAATTAACTAAGATTAAATTCTAGTTAAATTAGGGGCGCCTGGGTGGCGCAGTCGGTTAAGCGTCCGACTTCAGCCAGGTCACGATCTCGCGGTCCCTGAGTTCGAGCCCCGCGTCGGGCTCTGGGCTGATGGCTCAGAGCCTGGAGCCTGTTTCCGATTCTGTGTCTCACTCTCTCTCTGCCCCTCCCCCGTTCATGCTCTGTCTCTCTCTGTCCCAAAAATAAATAAAAGTTGAAAAAAAAAAATTAAAAAAAAAAATTCTAGTTAAATTATACATAGTAGGGATTTAGAGCATATGTGACTTGCCCAAGGTCACAAGGAATGAGCTGGTAGGTGTTTCATAAAGGACAGGCAGGTTTCAAGCTCTAGGTGGGGTTACTACGAAATCTACACGGACACTCCGCCATACCACCTACTGCGAAGATGGACCATTTTGCCTCATAGAGATGGAAAATACATATGACTGGTTACTTATTTCAAAATTGCCCCCACTTGGGGCACCTGGCTGGCTCAGTCAGTACAGCATGCGACTCTTGATCTCAGAGTGGTGGGTTCGAGCCCCACACTAGGTGTAGAGATTAAAAATAAAATAAAATCGTAAAAAAAAAAAAATCGTCCCTATCCACATCTCCATAAAGAGAATGCAGGTATTTACCTATCTTTTCAACCTTTTCCTCTTCCACATCTTGCTCAGCTTCTGTTGTACAACGATAGCCTTTCTTCTTGAGCAGGTGGCAGATGAGGACGCCGAAGAGACCCATGATGAAGAACACAGGGACGAGTGCATATGCGATATACTCTGGGTGTCCATTGCCAGTATTGTTAGTGGGCGACGGTGTCGTCTCCGTTTTGGAGTGCAACGTGCGGCTGCCACCATTGTCTATAGGAAGAAATACACAAGGCCACGTCAGACGTCTGTCGGAGGCAAGAAAAACCTGACAACACTGGGGAACGTGCACGTTAAATCCGAGTCTCCTCCCCAAACCGTGGGCCACGCGGAGACTGGTGGGTCTGGCAGCACAGAACACAGGCTGAGGGCCAGGCTTGGCTCAAAGTCTGAGTCCCCTTCCTGTCCCTGCTCCTCATAAACTAGGTCCCACCCTGGGAATTTCTTTCAAAACCTCCCAAGCTAGTGTGTGCTTCTTCAGCTGTGGCAGCACCCACACAGGGCAGAAAGCAGGTACAGAGTTCCGGTGAAACATAAGCACAAAGCAAACACGCTATCGTTCGGTGGCATTATAGCGGGGTGCTTAGTGGTTAAGAGCATGGACCCAGGAGACCCGGGTTCAAGTCCTGGCTGTACCACCTAGCAGCTGGGTGACACTGGGCAATAACTTAGAATCTCCATGCCTCAGTTTCTCGTGAAACAGGCATACTAATAGAAGCGTCCCACCCTTCTAGGGTGTTATGAAGGTGAAATAAATTATCCACGTAAAACATTTCAAACCTTTTTGACAACATAGTAAATGCTCAACTACGGCAGTCACCATGCTAGGTGCGTGTGATATATCACTGAGTAAAACAAAGATCCTTGTCCTCACGGAGCTTATGTTCTAGAAGGGTTTAGTAAGCTGACAGACCTAAAATATGCGAAAGAGAAAAATCCAGAATGGCATCAGTCCCTAAACAAAACATACAGGCAGGTCACAGGTTGAGAGAAATGCCGTGGAAGGCATACACATGGGTAAACAGAAGAAAGAATAACAGCAGGGACCTGTTTTATGACAACAAAAATAGGGCAGCTGGGAAGGAGGCATCTTTCAGAGAAAAGGAGAAATTTGCCTGTGGGCATGTCAAAGCATCACGTGGACTTATTACCAGAGGTGGCAGACATCCAAGCCTGCAGGGATACCACACGTAGGCTCCCAAGAGGCCCATGCGCATAGGGATCTGAATCTCCTCTATGAAGGACAGTGAGAGGCAGAGAGCCTGGTGCAGTCATGAGACATGGCCAATGAAGATACCAGAGAAAGAGCAAATTACATAGAAAACCAGCAAAGTACCAACTCACAGACACAAAATGAGAAGAGAATTATGAAACGAAGGAGGGGGTCAGGCAGGATGAGAAGTAAAGGGAAATGTGAGATTTGATTGAAATGAAGCCTCGTTATTTGGAATACTCAGATTCTGAAGTGCTAAAATGAAGTTCTCTACATCAGGGAGATTCACAGTGCTGCTTAAGAAACCCAGAAATAGGAGGATGCCAGGGTGGCTCAGTTGGTTAAGCATCCAAATCTTGATTTTGGCTCCAGTCATGATCTCGTGATTTGTGAACTTGAGCCTTGCATCAGGCTCTGCACTGACAGCGTGGGGCCTGCTTGGGATTCATTCTCTCTCCCTCTCTCTCTCTCTCTCCCCCTCTGCCTTAAAAAAATTAAAAAAGAAAAAAACAGAAAAGACACTCAGAAATTGGAAAACTAAATACACTTAATTATAAGCTCTCTCAAAGAGTGTTTTGATAAAAAAGAATCCATGTGGCAATGATTGAATGGGACAAATATCAGGTGTGAAATAACCACATTGCATTATTGCAGCAAACAGAAGCCCAATTTGCAAACCAGAGGCCATACAAAGGGCCATCAGTCTTTCACATGGAAATATCGATTACCTTTGAACATGAAAGGAAATTGCTGGTTTCTTAGGTTTGTAAAAGGCTGCTTTCATTATTTTATCAGACAATCTCTAGAATTGGGGATAACCTATTTTTTTTTCTGATTTATCTTCCAGGAATCAATATAATAAATGAATGAACAAATAAATGGAAGCACACGCGCACACACACACACACACACACACACACACACACACTTCCCTAAACATGCACAAATATATCATCTAAATCAGGATTTAACTACCAGCCTTTCAGTAAAAACCAGAAACATTTCTTTAACTCCTTTTATAATTCTAAGTAAGTCTTATTTAAAAATTCCTTTTTTTAAGTTTATTTATTTATCTTGAGAAAGAGAGAAAGCAGGGGAGGGGTAGAGAGAGGGAGACAGAATCCCAAGCAGGCTCTGTGCTATCAGCACAGAGTCCGAAATGGGACTCAGACCCATGAAACCACAAGATAGTGACCTGAGCCAAAATAAAGAGTTGGACGCTTAACGGACTGAGGCATCCAGGTGTCCCTATTAATTCCTTTTTAGTAACATATATTCCATGTAACAGGAATAGGTGAAGCAGGCAACATGCTAAGACCGAGAGAGTTTTACTCAGAATCATGGTCTGTTTCAATCTGGAAGTGACAACCAATTCTCTTTGGAGGGCAGTAGGAATAGGGACAAAAGTGGAGGGGCTCAGAATTGGAGCCAACAGCTCCTCCTGAATCAGGGGGTTGAGAATGTGTCTTTATCATCCATTTGGTATTTGGCAAACCCTTGCAAATACTACATTATTTAGAGTCTGTGATTTACAAACAAGTATCAGTCACTTAATCTCGTAATTATTCTACCATGGGAAAACTGAAGAAGATATGAATCTAAATTAGTGAAACATGAATTACAGAGAGACGCGATATAGCACTGGGGTTCCAAGGTCAGAACGCCCGACATGAATAACAGCTTTGCCATCTATTAGGCATGTCACCTTGGGCAAGTTACTTCATTGTTCTATGTTCAGTTGCCTCATTATTCAATAAAATCAAAATGATTATATCTTTCTAGGATGATTTTAAAACATGGCCCCAAATCCTTTGGTACTGCTCCAACCGAGAAGTCTGTACCTCCTACCCTTGAATATATACTCTGAGGTTTGCCTGATCAATAGAATATGGAGTGACACTTTGTCAGTTTCCACCTCCTGTCTCTTGGGGCACTTGCTTTTGGAAACTAATCACCATGCCGTGCAGAAACCGAAGGTTCCTCAAGAAAAGAACCCAATAACAGTCATCAACTTGCCAACTCTGTAACTGAGTATCTTAGAAGTAGACCCAAGAGCCCCAGCTAGTGATGCATGGAACAAACATGAGCTGTTTCTGAATCCTGACAACTTGTAGATTTCTAAGCAAAATGAGTGACTGTTGTTGTTTTGAGCCACGAAGCTTTGAGGTAAATTGTTATCCACCAAATAGAAACTAGAAGACTACTTCATGGAGTCATCGTAAGGATTAAATATATTAATATGTAAAGCACGTAGAAGAGTGTTTAGGAAGAGGCACGCATTGTAAAAGTGTTTACTCACCACCTTGATAGAACTGTACTATCCAATATGGTGGCCACTAGCCACAAGTAGCTATTTAAATTTAAGTCAATTAAGGGGCGCCTGGGTGGCTCAGTTGGTTAAGCGTCTGACTCTTGACTTCCGCTGAGGTCATGATCCATGGTTTGTGAGATGGAACCCTGCGTTGAGCTCTGCACTTGACAGCATGGAGCCTGCTTGGATTCTCTCTCTCCCTCTCTCTTTGCCCCTCCCTCGCTCACACGCATGCTCTTTTTCTCTCTCACTTTCAAAAATAAACATTTTAAATGTAAGCCAATAAAAATGACGTAAAATTAAAAATCCAGTTCTTCAGTTGCATTAATCACATTCTAAGCGTTCAGTAGTCACATGGGTAGTAATTGCTACCATACTGGACAGGTCAGATAAAAAACATTTTCGGGGCCCCCGGGTGGCTCTGTCGGTTAAGCATCAGACTTCAGCTCAGGTCATGATCTCATGGTTTGTGAGTTTGAGCCCCACGTCAGGCTCTGTGCTGACAGCTCAGAGCCTGGAGCCTGCTTCGGATTCTGTGTCTCTTGCTCTTTGTCCCTCTGTTGCTTGTGCTCTCTCTCTCTCTCAAAAGTAAATAAATAAACATTAAAAAAATTTTAAGAACATTTTCATCATCTCCAAAAGTTCTGTTGGACAGCCCTGTTATAGACTACAAAGAACTAATAAAAAGCAGTTGACTTGAGAATCTACTGTGACCTACCATAGCAATTCAATAAAAATAACTTTAAAATTACAAAGTAACTATTCACAAATAATGCCTTAAAACATTGTTAACTTAGGCAAATTTAGTTTTCCTTCAGTTTACACTAAAGACTTGTTTAGAGACATTGACCATCTTTCTCTTTCTCCCCAGCTGAGTCATATCTGAATTACAAACAAATTATTTGAATCCAATTGAATAGCAAAAGTGGTTGCCACACTCTCTATAAAACAAAAAATGGCAACAATATGAATTTTGATCATGGGATAGTAAGAAAATATCTAAGTCAGTCATTATCCACCCATTTGATGGAATAATATGCATCATTTAAAACTATAAAGATTTCATGAAGACATGAGAAAACACTTAAGATACAATGTTGAATATAAAAGGCTTGATTCAACATCTTACATACAGTATGGTCCAACTAGTTTTTTTAAAAATGCAAGAAGGCATAAAATGTACAAAGCAATGACCAAAATATTAAGTGATTTCAGGTAACTGAATAATAGAATAACTTTAAATTTTATTTTTATACTTATCTATAATTTTCTAAAATTCATATGTATGTATTCCTTTTGTACTAAAGTGATAGACACCTTAGAAAAAAAAAAAAAGATACAAAACAGAGGTGGTCAGCCATTTGGGAATCACAGACCCCTCTGGGAAACTGTTGGATGCTATGAAGGTTCCTCTTCCAAAATTTTGCCTTCAAGTTCTACAAGCTCTGAATCCCAAGTTCATGTAAGGGCAAGTGAATCGATAAGGATGATGCCTAAGTTTCTGCTTGATAACATGGTGGACATTGATGTCATTCATCAAGATGGGGAATAACTTTAAAGAAAAGGAAGCTTGCTTGGTGTGATGTGTTGAATTTTACCTCCCTCCCAATTCAAATGTTGAAGTATCCCAAGTACCTCAGAATGTGGCCTTATTAAAATACAGGGTCTTTACAAAGGTAATCAAATTAC